TTTATTATTTTTTGGTCTTTTTGAGACAGGATCTCCCTGTAGCCCCAGCTGTCCTGGAACTCACTATGTAGACCAGGCTGGCCTCGAACTCACAGAGATCCACCTGCCTCTGCCTCCCCAGTGCTGGGATTAAAGGCGTGCGCCACCATGCCCGGCAGTAAGACACCAGTTTTTAAAAGATGCCACAAATCAGCTGCTACAAAGGATCTGGATCAGAGCATCTGAAACCCAAGGGGCTTTTTATTTTTAAATTTAATTTGTCTTTTTGAGACAGGGTCTTCTCTGTAGCCCTAGCTGGCCTGGAACTCACTATGTAGACCAGGCTGGCCTTGAACTCAGAGAGCCACCTGCCTTTGCCTCTCGAGTGCTGGGATTAAAGGCGTGTGGTCCAAGGGGCTTAAAAAAATTATAAAAAGGCGTATTAAATACACAGCCCTGGCCATACTAATTTAGATAATGATGGAAAATGACAGCTGACAGTTTAGGACAAATAGCAACTGTTCCATTTGTCTGAAAATACTAAAATTGCTATAATACTTGTTTTCAAAGAAAACTGGTTATTTGTCTTGGTTTGTCTCATGTATCCTAGGTTGGCTTCAAATTCACTGTATAGCCAGGGATGACCTTGAATTTTTTTTTTTTTTTTTGAGACAGTCTCCCTATAGCCTCCAGCTGGCCTTGAACTTACTATGTAGACCAGGTTGGCAGATACCAAGATCTCACAGAGATCTGAGTACCTCTGCCTCTGAAATGCTGGGCAAGTGCCACCACTCCTAGTTTTGAATGAAATGTACATCAATTAAAATCCTGAAAGGGCCTACAGATAATGCTGCCTCTTCAACCTGCCATTTTAGTTTTCACTTTCAATATTCCAAAGTGGAAGTAAACACATCTCAACAGCTTTAAATATTTTCATGTATTTTATTTTTTTAAACACTTAGAATTTTGCAAGCTAGCAGTAAAATATTGCTGTCAATATTTTACTATTTAGCACCATGTACCTTTTAAAGCTCACTGGAACATTGCTTCACTGTAAATGATTGTAAAATAAGATGATCACTTCAAATGTTAAAATAGACTCAAAGTGTGATCCATTATTAATTAAATCATTATTTTTGGTTCTATGCACAATGTGTACTGTAAAGATGAATGTAACTACATTAATATATCTGTCAATTTAACAAATCAAAGTATCACAATTTAAAGCAGTGATCTCTGAAATTATTCTATAAAGGCATATAAAGAAGTTGAGAAATCAGCTATAAAAACAAAAGATAACTCGTTTACTTTTTAGAAAAAATTTTTTTTGAAGAATGACAGTGAGAAATTCCTTTGGTGCAAAGATCAATTAAACATACGGTTTCGTGTACACGAGCCATCTCATGCTTTGCTAATTAGTAGCCTTACCAAAAAGGCATGGAAATGTCTAAACTCACAGGACAGCTGGAATAAAATTGCTTGGTGTTAACAAGATCCCATCTCAGTCATAAAGTTAAAATGGAAGCCTAGACATTTACCCCTGCTTTAATATTCTCATCTAAAAAAATACTTTCAAAAAGGTGGAAAAAAAAAAACAAACCCAAAACACAGTATACTCAAATTATGTGTTTTAAAAAAGGGTATTTTCAGATAAAAGCATTCTGCAGTGTATGACATTAGAGTTTGGAGCCACAACTGACTACTAGCACGTCTGCTGTGTACACCAGTAGAATCAAGTCCAGTTTTGCCATTTGTGGATGACTATGACAAGATACAAAAGCATGTGTTTGCCATAAATAGCTCTGGCTAATAGCAAACCACACACACTGAGTAGATCAGATTCTCTATAAGGAGAACAAGCTGGACCACAGCCAAATTCTACTAATAGTTAAGACTGCTATACCAATTCCTTTTTCCAATTCAATTTGGAAAAGATATTAGGGAATCATAGCTGAAATGAACATTCCTAAACACCAGAATCATTATTAAACATTCGAATGACAACATTTTACAAGTTATCTTCATTATGACCAAGTTAGCAATAAAAACATCCTGCTTCTACTACTCAAGTATGCAGCCATGTATCTGTAAATTTAAGAACTACCTCTTTTATCTAGAGAACAAGACACTGGAGTATGTCAAAGTGCAAAAAAATATTTCTGACCTCCATATTAAAACATAAATAAACATGTTTATAAAAGTACCACTCTTTTAATGATGGTTTGTAAGTGACTAGGATATTTTAAAACCAAAGAAATCCAACAAATCTGGAAAATGCCATGCATGAAGGTTGTACAAAAGAATTCTCAAATAACCAGTGCAGAGGTTAGTAGTTGTTTACCCTAAAAGTCATTTCACATTTTGCAAAATTCCCAAGGAAAACAAGGCAACGTTCTGTAACTCGCCACAGTTTTTATTGTAACGTGGCCATCTCAAAACAACGTTCCATTTAAGGCTCTTTTATACAGAAACTGCCATCATGACTGATAGTCAAAATATCTTTTAGTGTTTCAAGACTCATGGTAAACATAAAACTCCTACATTTATTCAGTAGTGTACACTCAATGAAAACAAAAGGCATCAATACAGCTATTTAGGATATGCAGGTAACAGGAATGAACACTGAGGTACTAGGATAAATTGATGACAGTTAATGAAACTTAATTGGCATTCCTTTTAAGGGATTAAACTCATTACAAAAAAAAAGTGCTTTTTAACGCATAGTGTTAAATCTGTGCTGCCATGTCACAAAAATAGGCTTGCCAAGGCAGGTGAGGTGTATGAATGCTCCAGCGCCCCACAGAACTGCAATGAAGTGCAACTATAAATAATACTGAAAAATGTTTACCAACTGACCAGTGGGTAATCCTTTCAAGGCATTCAATCAGCTTACCCTCTGCGATACTCTAGCTATTCACATTAACAATCCCATCCATGGTGGTGCTTGCTGCAAGGAAGGCATGTAACCAGTTGTTTTGGCTAAAATAAGAAGGGAAGGCATTCCTTGGGTTCTACGTAAAAGTAACCATATTAAACAGTATTAATGGCAATAACTGACAGGCTTCTTAAATGAATGATAACTCCTTCATTCATTGTGTTGGAAGGGCCCAGTGGAAGGGAATAACCAAACAAACAAAAAACACAAAACCTAATACTATTCCAATGGACGACTGAGCTGCAGAAACTGTAAGCCTGTTAAGATCCAGATGGCACTTGACTATTACTTTATAATGGTTTTCCTTCAAGTGAAACTACGACATTGCCTCCCAATTTCTCTCCAAGTGTCGAGCGGTCCTTAATATCATCCAAGCCATTTACTTGCCACTCATGTTTAATACCTAAAAAGAAAAAAAAAATCCCATTACCTTATTAAAATTAGGAGAGAGTAATTTCTCTGCACAAAATATTCAAAGTTTGTACCTGTAAATTTCTTTTTAATGGCATCTTTGGAACTAGCATAGATCATCTTGCTTTTTAATGGTGCACTTTCAGGAGCCCTAGGGGGGAAAAAATGTTGAATTTCAAAAGAAAAACAAAGGCAACACTGACTATGATAATAATCCTTGCATTTTAAAAGTACTTTTTTCTTTTGTTTTTACACACCAGAATATAAATACTAGGTCTTCTTTCTTAGACTCTTTTGTTTCGTATGTGGCATCGTACAAAGCATATCGGCAATCATTCAGAGGTAGCAACTTCACAAAAGATGTGTACGGGTCCTCTACTGTATCACCAATGTCACCCACCAAGATCTGCTTTGCTTCCTCTACAATTATTTGTCTTTTGTCATCACTTAAACAGAAGAGAACCGCTTTCTTTCTCTTTTTGATCTCCTCTTGTGTAGAAGATTTTCTTACTTTCATATCATTAAAAACTTTGATGACTTCATCATTCACTGTAACTCCAGATGCCTGAAAATAAACAAAGAACTGTAATTCAGACGAGCATTTTGGCTTTAATCAAAATTGTTTAGCTAGAAAGGATTCACTTCAATCTGGCCATGAAAAATTGCACCAAACAACGAAAGCAGTCCTGAGATATCTGTCATATTTAAATCGCAGTATAAGATGCAGCTAAGATTTCTAACTCATACTGCCCACCCATCCTTCTTAAAGGAGTGTGGGAAAAGACGCAAACAGAAGGTGGAAAGGGACAAATACAAGTTGTCCCATCCCTGAAATGTTTCCTATTTCACTGGGTGATGTCAGAGCGTCAGGAGCAGCAGCAAAAATACCTTCTGTATTGTGTCAACTCCGCAGGCCTTAAAAAAAACTCTTTGGGATTTCAGTTAATGCTTCTACTATTTTTTTCTTTAAAGTCATCCTGGCCACCGCCTTTTCCTCATAAGGAAAGGGAATCAAGTGTGAACTCCAACCGCCCACGGCTACAGCAAATGCCCCACAGCCCCGAGGCAGCCTCGAAAAATAACGGGCCCGGGAGAAAGCTTTCCACCGCGAGCAGGCGTGCGGAAGAGCTCCCACCTGCTCGGCTGCGCACAGCGGTTTCCTATGGCCTTCCGGACCCTCCTCAAAGGCTCCAGGACGCGCCAACCCCACCGAGCGCGCTAAGCACTGCAGGCAGCGAAGGGCAAACGGAGGTGCGTGGGGTCGCGCGGCCAGCAACCCTCCGGCCCTCCCGCCCCAGGAATCCGGGCAGCCGCAGGCCCCGCCGGACCCTAGCGGGGCCGGGGCGGGGCGGGGGGCCGCAGCGCCGAAGCGCCCACCTCCCAGACCCCAGGCAGGGTAAGATGACGGCCTCGCGCCCGCAGCCGCGCGGGGGTCGCGTTGGGCCCAGCCTCCCGCCGGAGCGCCC